CTCGAGGATAGTTAAGTGTCCTAAGGTAGGGTGCGAAATCCACATTGGGTGATACCAAAATCTAGCGTATGAATAGTAAGGAAACCCATAGGGTTAGAGGGCTGATGGAGGTAGTTAGAACCAGATGGTTTAAATGTGTACCACCCTAGTCGGGGTGCAGGTACGGCAGATAGTGTAGAACCTTCGGGCGGACTACTTAAATAGGAACTCAAAAGGTGCATGTGTGGCTTGATGTACCATTGTTGTAATTACATATAAAACTTTGTCTATACTCTAATAAAAAGTTCCCCAGACCAGACCAAAGAGGTCACCTTAATACCAAAAAAAAAAAAAAAAAATTTATGTTAATTATAAATTGACACATGTTATTTGAAAACTAAGAAATAATATGTCATATTTAAATCAATATGCATTTACTGATTACTAAAAAAAGCACACAGTAAATTTAAAAATACATATAAGGGAGGCGGGGTATTGTGGACAGGGGGTATCTTATGATCTGGTGATCAAAATTGGATAATTTTTATACCATTCGAATTGTCTCAGAAAGACAATCGAATGGTATAAAAATTGTTTAGTTCTGATCACTAGGTCATAAAATATATATATTTAAGCAAAAATTACATAATTGTAATATAACTAGTCAAGTATTTATTATTCTTAAGAATTAAATAAAGTTGTCCACAGCAATAAATTCTAAACTTTTAATATTTTTATTAACGTCTCTTTAAGAAAAATAAATATTGAGTTAATAAATATTGTAATCAATTACTAGAAATACGTAAACATACATGTGTATATATACAATCGTGTAATAGTAATAAAAAATACGCGTTAGTGAATAAAAAACTATCGAATATGATCAAACATTGACATATACTATTATATGTCCTCTTTTTTTGGCAATTGTATAGCAATATAAAAAAGGAAGTCATGCTTCATCTTACGTAGTTTAATCACATTATTTTAAATATTCGTAAGTGTCAGAAGAGGCTCTTTTTTTTTTTTATTCAAACCATATCTAAGTGAATAAATTTTAATTAACCTTTTTTTATTTTTGTTTTTGATACAAAATAAATTTCATACATTCACGTGTTAAGTACTAAATTTTTTCTAATAGATAAAAATAAAATGGCAAAATTATCTGCAGATAACCGACAAGAAGCAATTATTGCTACACTTAATGAGTATAAAAGCCACCCCAATGCAAGTGTAAAAAAACTGGCAAAAGAATATGAAATTCCTAGAACTACTCTAATATGTGCAATAAAAAATGATAGCCCACCCTATCACCCGGGTCCACCTACCATCCTAACTAAGCATGAAGAAAACCAACTCGTAGACTATTGCATTAATATGCGGAAGCTTGGATTTGGTTTGACTAAATCTGGCATTAATTATTGTGTAATAGAAATATTATGTAATAATAAATGATCACATCCATTTAGTGATAATGGCCAGGTTGAGACTGGTAGATTTGTTTTAGAAGAGACCATCCCGAGTTATCATTCTGTGTCCCCCAAGAGTTATCTGAAGCTCGGGTACAAAAAGCAAATACAACAATTGTTAGAGACCATTTTGATAGATTAAAAAAAATAATTAACAAAAATTTGCTTACCCCTATGCAAATTTGGAATATAGACGAAACTGGGTTTGTTCTCATACCTAAATTAGAAAAAGTATTAGCAAAAAAAGGTATATGGCAAGTCCATAAAGTTGCACATGGAAATTTCCATGACCATATTTCTGTTGCCCTATAATTTTGGCCACGGGATCATACATTTCTCCCTTGATAATTTACAAAGATACCTGTATAATTCCTGGCCTATTGGAAGGTGTACCTGCTAGAACCATAATGGGGCTTACAGATAGTGGGTACATGAAAGAAGACCTTTTTCAAATGTATATTACCCATTTCAATAATTTTGTCTCACCTACTCACCCTGTATTATTGATGCTTGATGGCCATAAGAGCCATATAAGTTATTCATATGTCAAGTTTTGTTGCAAATATAGAATTCTTCTTTACACGCTTCTGCCCCATATGACCCATGTTTTGCAACTATCTGAAATTCCTTTTGCGAAATTAAAGAATGAATATGGAAAAGAATGCGACAAATATCAAACCAATAATAATGGCAAAATCGTTATAAAACATACCTTTGTGAAAGTTCTTGGCCCAGCTTTTCTTAAAATGGCTATTTGCAACGCCTTCCAAAGTACTGGAATATGGCCATTTAATCCTGACATGATTAGTATAGATCGCTTAGACCCTTCATTAGAACAGAGCGATTTAATATAGTACCTACAACTAGCCAACCTTCAAATAATCAGCCTTTAACTAACCAACCACTTTTCACACTTGTCGAATCATTTCAATCGTCACCTAATAAGCCAAGTCATTTTACTCACGCAAATGCTGCCTTAATACAAAAAAACAATAAGATACTTGAGAATGAAAATGAAATACTCAAGAATGAAAATAACATGCTAAAAATTCAATTTATAGCAATGAAAGAAGAATTAGAAACATATAAAAACCCAGGAACGTGTTCTCTACATTCGGCTCTCAAGTATTTAGTTCCCTGAACTTCTCAAGCTGAAACACTGAAAGCCTTGTCAGATCAACAGGAATCCGAGTTGTCTTCACCTAAAAAAAGAAAGACTCTTCCATTTGCACGCTCCTTACTTGTGAAGAAAGTTGGGAACAGTTGAAAACTGCAAAGGAAGAGGTGGATAAAAAAATTGTTGAAGCAAACCAAAAAAAAGAAATCGCGGCCCAAAGAAAAGAAGAAAGAGCATGGCAGAAAGAAGAAAGAGAGTGAAAAAAGGAAGAAAAAGAACGACAAAAAGAAGAAAAAGAACGAGAAAAAAGCACGAAAACAAGAAGAAAAGACACAACGAAAAGGATACAAGCGGATTAGAATTAAATAAAATAAAAAAATTTTTTTTTTAGGGTGTCCACAATACCCCCTTACCGTCCAAAATTCGAATTTTATATCCCTGCATATAACCATCATTTATGCTTCAAAATAGAATGTTACACAATACTTTTTTGTAACGATTTTACTTTATATTGGGTGTAGTTTATATGATAATTATAGCATAAAATTTTATGCGCATAGGAAAAAGTTTTATTAGCAAAAACTTTAACATGTCCATAATACCCCGCCTCCCTTATATAAATTTTTTAAAGAGCAAAAAAAGTTAAAAATAAAATAAAAGTTAAATAAAAATATAATTTAAAACAATATAAGAATTTTTCAATAACATATTAAAAATTTAAAATAAAATAAAAACAACTAAAGGTCAATTAAAATTACCATATAAGCATGTAATACGGAATGCCATACGTTTTAGTTTTAATTTGAATCAAAATCCTAATTATGTTACAACTGCTAAAAAATTTCTGAGACTAAGTAAGTAGAATGTCCTTGTGTCATTAGCCCTATGCGTTGATGAAGTCATGCTAGGGTTATTATCGCGAGGATAACCAGTTTGTGGCTTATATGAAATAGAGGCTTATATGAAAAGATAATAGATATGCATCTGATTGTATTGTATGCCGTAAGAGATCATAGATATGCATGCAACAGAGATTATAAAGGAGAAAATAGTGAATCTTAGTGCTTTCTTACTTCGCTTGTCTTGTTCACTTGTTCTCTTCGCTGCCCGATTACGATCTGGCTTCTTCGTGTTAGGCCCACCTTCCCCGCCCTCATTCGTTGCACCTAGTACCTTGCCTGTTGTCATGTGTAGTGTGTTGAATGCGCCGCACCGTAATATGGGCTCGAACTTGCTACTTTATTAAAGTAGAATGCGCCACACCATAGAGTAGGCCCGATTCTCATTTATGCTTCGTCATGTGACTATATCCACGTGAACATAAAATTGTTATGGCACAGTATGCTATAACAGAAGAGAAAAGTGATGAAGTGGAGCACTACTCCCATCATGTATCTTCATAATATTTAATAAAGTGAATAATGTTTGATAAAGAAATCTGAGCGAGAATAATAGAGTTAAATATGCGACGTTCGAAAAAAAAAATAGAATTTTCGAAATAACGTTATTACGTGGCTACTCTTTACGCCTTTGGTTTCTCAAAGACTAATTTGATTTTTTTTTTTTTGTATAAAAACGAGTATTTTTATTACTTAAATTAAAAATATGATTATTAGTAAAATATTATCTATAAGTCTATTAGTAATTCAGTTAAATTTTTAAAGCTTAGTAGTTTGTAATTAAACAAATATTCTATTCTAGGCGGCTTGCAAAAGCAAAATAAAAACACACACAATAAATTAAATTGATGATAAATAGTAAACACTTAAAGAAATATTGATTATCAATATAACAAAAGTAAGATTTTTGATTTTCTAAAATAAATGGATAATTTTTTTCATCAGAATTAAATGTTTCATGTCTGTATAGTACATAGAAGTGACATTAATGAAAAAATTTTCTGTTATTAGTAAAATAATATCAATAACAATAGCTGCATATCCTAAGTATCCGACACTTAATTTAAACAATAAAAATATGTACTTACTAATAAGCCAAGTAAGTTCCTGGAATAACATCATTAGCATTTGGTGTGATTTTTTTAGGTACTTCAACAACATTACTTATAGCAATACTGTCTAATTGAGTACCTGAGATAACATCACTAGCATTAGGTATAATTTTTTCAGGTACTTCAATAACATCACTAGCATTTGGTATAATTTTTTCAATAACATCACTAGCATTCGGTATAATTTTTTCAATAACTTCACTAGCATTCGGTATAATTTTTCCAATAACTTCACTAGCATTCGGTATAGTTTTTTCTGGTGCTTCAGCACTAGGATTCGGAATAATTTCTTCAGGTGCTTCAGCAACATTGCTTATAGCAGTATTGTCATTTTCATCAAAATCATCTGCAGAAGCACACAAACTAAAAACAAGAAATGTGGGAAATAACCATATAAATATTAAATTGGTTTTACGAATCTGACAAGTGGTGTAAAGCGAGGAAAGAGAGTAGTCATATGAATTTGGACAAGTGAATGGAATGTCACCCATTTCATGAACCGTGAGTGCTGTATATGCGCCTTTTAATAAAATGTTAATAAGTCTAATATTTAAATATATAAAGCTCTTTTATAGTAGTTTATAAATCAATTTTTACTTGGAAGTATTAGCCAACTGAGTATATATACAATGCCAAAAAGAATGGCGCAGCGTCTGGAATTAAGTCCACAACAGATGCACATTGGAACAATAATATGTGTTGCTCCTAGTATAAGGTATCTAACAATATATATAATATATTAAATGAAATAAACTTTAAATTTTATCAGTATAAAAAAATTATTATTACATACTTACATATAATCAATTTCACGCAATTTAAGAATTCCATTTGACTCATTGAATAAAATAATTTTTGCAAGTTCTAAAAAAAATTATTATCTAAGATTATAATCTATTAATTACCATATCATTTTGAGTGAAAGTTACTTACGAAAGGTCGGACAAGCAAGTGCCAATAAGATAGTTATTGTATATATTAGAGCTTTACACATTTTTTGTAAGATATTTAATAAAACTAAGCTTTTTTTGACAAATTTATCTCTTGCTAAAATTGATTCTGTTATAACAAATCCTTCGTTAAATTGAATAAACAACCAGAGGTGGGTGCGAAATGGTTATAAAACTGAAGAATGTTAAAACAACTGGATCGGAGTGTAACGAAATGCATGGTTTATATAGAGAGTAAAAGCGTTATATGTAAATCCATGCAGGTTGCTCCTTTCATAATTATTGGATATATATTTGTACATCTTTACACAGATTTTCTCAATTATATAGAGATAATAGTGAGGAGAAATTATTTCCATAATTCTACAAATATTTAGTAATTTCGCAACAGTTAAGCTTTATATTATAACAGTGTAGTATAGAAAAGATGACAAGTTATTAATAGAACATAGCAAAATAATTCTCTCTTAATATTAAATTCTAGGCAGTATAAAATGTTGGATTTTAAGGGTTTATAAATATCAAAAATGTCCACAATTCCGTAATTTGGTAAGTGTAGAGTTACTAGTTTATTAATTATCATCAATTCAACAATTCCACTATTCAAACTGTAGAATTTCTAAAATTGTTAATTATTATCAAATGTAGAATTCAAAACCATTGTGGAATTAATAAACATTTGAAGAATTATTTCCATATTTATGTATAAGAATTCATATAAGTTCTGAATTTAAATTTAGAATGATTTCATTATTATACCTAATATATTATATTTTTATTGTATATGAGCTAGATAATAATATACCTTTTTAGTTTAATCTACTAACATTTAATCATTTAATTGTCATTAATTTATGTAATAAATTGTAAGAATCTACAGCAAATATCGCATAGTAATATTAACAATGAATTTCCTCGTTAAGTTTCAACATTTACACAAAATCTCCTATTAATGGCTAAAAGGCGAACAAATATCTGCAGACGATGAAATAGATGTCGGTTTATTACTATATATATCTTAATTATTATGATGTAGCCTTTTAAAATTACAATATACCTTAAATACATGCTTACGATTTCTTAATATAGATCACACAAAAGGCTATGTAACGTAACTCTGAATTGGGAAATACCACAAGTATTATAAGAAAAATAACATTCTCATCAAAATCTATATGTAACAAGACATGAGTAATACCTAAAATTTCCTTTCCTGTTCCTGGTTTTATAAAATTAGATAGACTGTACTACTTCGTCTGAACCATAAACATGCGCCTAATATAAACCTACCTCTAAAAGGAAATATAACAAAGACAATAATTTAGGATTTAAGTGTACCGATAATATTTTATTTCATAACAATGTACGTACGTATACAATCTGCATATAGGTGATGATTTTCTTGTGATTGGTTGATCACATAAATCAAAGCGTGATTAACCACGTTAAAAGGACTTACATAGCGTCGCCAAAAAAAAATGGTAGCCGGATTTTTTACTGGCTTGCATATGACTTCGGATACTGATTG